TTGCCCCATTTGTCGCCTCTTACGATCAGCAAGGGGGTGCTAGGGACCTATTCTACCCCGGGTCCCCACGGGGGCACAGACTGGCATGAATAGGCAAATGCAGACTCACATTTTATAAATCGTGCATCACGGCAAGATATGCGGGTAGCATCTCTATTCTCTCAACGAGTTTCTGAGCTCTCATCCTTCAGACTGAGTTTATTCTTATTTATTTATTTATAGTTTGTAAAGACTGTCCAGCTCATGCTGCTCAAACCATGCTTTGTTAATGAATTAAACTGCAACCTTAAAAACAGTTTAATGAATTGTTTTGACACTAAAGCATATACTATAGCGGACTTGTTTTGAAGCGTTTCAACTCAATGTTATTCGTTCTTCTTGTTTATTGTAGATAACTAACCAACAAAATATACATCAAAATTAAGTTAAACATTATGCATAATGAAACTTGTTGCAAAAAGATATATTTTCAAAGAAAAATATATAAGGTGTATATATATTTTAGCTTGTGCCCATCTTAAACATCTGTGAGTGGACCATGCTTCGCTTCGTGGAAAATAAGGATTTAATTAACGATCCACTGTTATTACAAATGTCTGTCATATATTTGCTGCATTTTTAATATCTCATTATTTTAAAGATTATGTCTTGAGCATCTGATTTCTCCTCTGTGATTACCTCCTTTAAATATATAAAGGCTAGTTATTTCACGGTGAATGAGGGACAACAGAAATATTACAAATTTCAAAAAAAATATCTTAATATTAAAAAGGAAACATAAGCTTGACAAAAAAGATCTGATCAATGTCGTAACAAATGCCCTTAAATAATGCAGCCTGTAATTTACAGCAAGCATCAAGTGTTCATTGAGATGTGTTTGAGTTTGTTTTGTCTGTCATATCTTTCGTCTGTCTTTTGGGGGTTTTTTTCTCGTAAGGCACAGTGACATGACACTCTGCTGGGTGGTTGCACTGGTTTACCAACACTTGTTTGTGTTTGTAATTTTATTAGCATCTTCATAAGGGTGGTATTGTTTTAAACAATGAAACGTGTTTATGGTGTTGCCTGCTTTTGATGGCACGAGTAGTCTGCAGTTTGCTCTGCCACGTTGCTCTGTTTTGTGTCGGATTGTCATTGTCATCAATGTCTGTGACTGTGACATTGCTACCTTATTTTTTTCTTAACCCTTTAAGTGTAACTAACACCGAATTGCTGTAAACTTGTGCCGCGTACGCCACCCGGAAGGGCAGGCTGCAAAATGCTTGCGTAGCTTTACGCATAGTGCGTAAATAATATTAAACACTTATCGAACTGTCATTATCCTTTTATCGAAAAAATATATATTGTCATAATTATCGTATTATCGCCCAGCCCTAAATTATATCATGATTATTTTAATTTAAATATTACCCAGCCCTACCGGGTAATACTTGGCAGGGATGCACCCATCTAGCACAAGTATTGAGGCTGGGGAATTCCATGATATTGCATGATATTCCTCCGGGTGCTCCAGTTTCCCCCAGTCCAAAGACATGCGGTACAGGTGAATTGGGTAGACTAAACAGGCCGTAATGTATGAGTGTGTGTGTGTGTGTATGTGGATGTTTCCCAGAGATGGGTTGCAGCTGGAAGGGCATCTGCTGCATAAAAATGTGCTGGATAAGTTGGCGGGTTATTCGGCTGTGGCGACCCCATTAAATAAAGGGACTAAGCCGAGAAGAAAATGAATGAATGATTCTAAGTAATTTACTTAAGACAAAAGCATGCGCTATAATTAAATTCTGAACATAGCTACAATGCGTTATATTTCATTTATCATGTGAGAAGAACGAGAAGAGTCAAATTTAAAGAGAATGGGGGACAATTTAGTGTCAAAATGCAATGCAAAAGCACCTCATTTAAAAAAAAAATCATGTGAGTGATTTAGCAATGCCATGCCACTGACAAGCCAACTGCAGAGAAACAAAACAACCATCCCGGCAACCGTAGTGATCAATTTTTCTGAAGTTTAGCTGTTCTTTTTTGTACTTGATTATAATTTAATGTAAATTTAGCATTAAATTTAATGTTAATGTGTTCAATGTTAAAAAAAAACAATAATAAATAGGCCTACAAGAGTGTATCTTGTGTGTGTGCGTCTTTTATAACTGAAGCCACTCTTTTCCAAAACCGAAAGTTGCTTCATCTGTCTGGCAACATTTTGGCTTTTAATCGAATGAAAAGTTAATTTAGATGAGCCAATATTTAAAAATTGCAGTAAAATAACTGTGATGTGCAACCACACATCGACTCTGAGGTCTGATCTCATCTCTCTCTCTCGCTGTCATCCAGACATCAATACGTAGATGCCACACAAGTCAATTCGCAAAACTAAGGCTGGTACCTGACAGAATAGCTGCGAAATCTGTCAAAATACACCACTGAAATTAACAAGCATAAATGTTTTTGAGCCATAACGTCTATCTGTAGGATATCTGTAAAAAATGTAATCAGAGCTAATGTTCTGTAGAAGTTGTGTAGCCTAACAATTACAATAATTCTAATAAAATGAAAACCATTTTTCGTTTGATAAAAATATACAAAAACAAAAAATTTATCAAAGGGTGGCTAGTTTGTATTAATGTGTTTTAATATTAATAAAAATATGCTTAGCCTGTTTAAGCTTAACGGTTATATATGCTGCCAATAGGCGAGCCATTCAAAAAGTATTTTACTGTGTAGTGGGTTATAATGTATATATCATAATATATACATTAAAAGTGCTAGCTTGTTTAACTATAATTATTATGCAAGGACAATATTTCATATTTGGTTTATTCTTCAGTAGCCTATAGATTCGTTAATAAAATATTCTATAGAAAGTTTGTTTATAAGGACTAAGCTATTAATATATAACACATTAGGCAAATTAATACATTAAGACACTGAAGTCAGGTAGGACAACAAAAGACAATCAAAGTATGTTCCCCCTGTTGGCAAAGGTAACCAAAAAGTATCTTTGAGTGTGCGCAACAAGCTGCGCATCCGAGTGAGTATTCAGCACGATGGGGAATATAGTGAGCCCCACAAGATCCCACCTTAAACCAAAGATGGTCAACATGTTGGGTTTCCTGGCAAAGAACATGTAGACTGCACTGTTAATAAATGCCAATTTACAGTGTTTTTGTTTATTTATTTTTTTAAAGACTGCAGACCTGTCATTTTTGTAGCCTAATGTCATTTTGGAGTTTTTTTATATTTGTTTCTTGTTCATTCGTTTAATCTTATTTAAAAGTTGTGGTATTTAATTAATTATCTCTTTATTTTATTTTCTTATTCATTTTAAAAACATTCTAACATAGGCTATGTAATAAACATTCTATGGTTGTCATTTGTTTGGTTCTAATTTCCAGTTTTTTCAGGCTGTAGCATTGTTGTGTTTTTTTTTTTCTGTTATGTTAATAAAAGTTCTGTTTTTAATACTAGTTTTTCTTTTTGTTTTTTGTAGTTTTGTTGTCGTCCATTCAAACAATTAATGCCGAAATGCCAATTTCCACAAAACTGAAAGTAAAAATATATTACACACACATTAATAAGCTATTTAAAAGCAGAAAAAAAAGACGAAACCCCCACCCCCACGGTGATACCAATATTACTGGTATTTTCACATGTCAATAAACCAGTGGGGAAATTTTCTCATTGTCACAACCCTATGAAAAAAAGGTTTGGCTATAGCAGCCTGGTATGCTGACCCTGTGAAGCTCCAGAGTCATGACAAACAGTTTTGGTGGAAACATGACAGCAGAGGTGCACATTTAATTCAACAGTGAGTTGGGCAGCCGTGGTTTAACATTTTTTTTTTTTTTTTTTTTGTTTTTTTGCATACAATACGTGCTAGCACCTAGTAATTGTGTGAATCACATTATGGTTTTTTAAGTCACGGATTGGAGCATTTTTCGGATCAGTTAAAAAGGGGAGGAGACAAATATAATTTGCCTTCTATTTATTACAAAAACAGTACTAGAAGTATCAGTACTAGATGGATCATTTTTGAATAACTATACAGTGGCATATTTTTGATGGCTGGTTGTCGCCACTTATTGACAAAATAATGTTAAAGAAAAAACTTTCATTTTTGAGCATCAAGATCATGATCCGTTAAACTCCTAGAACCTAGACATCACTTTTAGACCGCTTCCTCTTTTGCCCACAATTACTTTTCTTTTGGATGTGGTTCGTCCTACTTAGTGGTATGCTGACATTAATCTGGATACCATGGCTCTTGATTAGTGTTGTCTTGATACTGAATTTCCATACCGATCGGTACTGAAATTTTAAAAACCTCAATTTCTTGCAAACAAATGAGTGCTGTTTAGTTCCAGTATTATGACAACACTACTCTTGATACATCACAAAGACATGCTCTCTTGGACACATGCACCAGCAAGATTCGTACCAACAATTTGTCCTCTTTTAACTAATGTCACCCATAATATTGTGTGCACTGCAATAGTTTAAGCAAAACTTTGTTATTACTCTGCTAATTAAACCTTCAAACACTGTTCTTACAGGTAGAATGTGCAATCAATGAAGACTGGCCACCAGGCTGGTCAAATTTAGCTATGAATCCTCCAACACTAAATTGGCTACTGTTTCAGTTTTATTGTCCAACCCCTATATATACACACACTTACATAGAAACATACATACATGCACTGTAATATAGATTTTTAATAACATAAAAAGTAATACTTAAAAGGTTACTTTACATTCAACCTGTAAATGGTATCTAATTATATGTAGGGTTCTTTATGCATGGTCAAAAGTCCCTGATTATTGCCAACGCATGTAATTAGTTGTTCTTGAATTATTTAATACGTTTAGAATAAATTTTAGCATGAAAGTTGATGAGTCATGATTTTTGTTTGAAAAACATCTATCTTTTCATCTTGCAAAACAGGTTAAATAATAGCACCATGGGTATATATAGAAACATTTATAACTTTTGCTGAAAAAAGTACCTTTTGAAGCTCAAGCGTCCTTGAGTATCCTGCTTTTTGTAGAATGGACCAAGCAATTTCAGTGTCATTGGTATTCATCTGACAGCCATATGTTTCAAAATATACTGCAAGACATTTCACATGTCAACATTTGAATCATATACTGCAAACCAAAAAAGTAATTATACTACAACTGCACAATATATCGTTTCAGCATCAATATGGAACTGTGATCATTCACAATAGTCACATCGCAGGATATGCAATGTCAGGTTTGTTTTATAATTTATCGTTTGTATGTATTTCTGAGGTTTGTGTGACTGAATGAGGATTTTAAAAGAATTAAGTATCACGTTTTTTAAATACTGTGAGACCTTGAAAACAATACAACATGGTTAATTTCAACTGTATATATTTTTTTCTTGTTTTGTATTTATCTATGCTTGTAGGTTGTTTTAAATTTCATGCTGAAGCACTCCTACTAAATATGATAGAAATATGTGATAAGCAGATATATTCAAGTCATCAGTTGAAATTGTATTCATATCGATATATATATCACAGTATAAAAATATTGCAATGTTACATTTTTCCAATATAATACAGCCCTAATTTAAAAATACACAAAACCCCTAATACTGATTAATGTCATTTTCTAATAATTAAAATAACATACTAACAAACACATCATGCATACATACACAACACCTTATTTTTTTATATAACAATACTGATTTAGTTGTCAGACATAATGCAAAAAAAAAGTGATACAAAATATTTGGTGGTGTAGTTTTATGATTATTTCGTTTGAAAACAAATAAAAATTATTTCCATTAGTACTATCATGTCTATCCACTGAAAAAAAAAATCTGACCTTTCCGTGAATGGTCTGACATGTATTTAGGAATATAGTGCTCCTCATATTCCTCACTGCCGTCAAAATCGCTTTTATCAGAACTCATGATGAAATCCTGAAAACTGGGACCATTTGTTAGTTTACTTTTTAGCTGCATGATTCTGCTGAGACCAGTACCGTGAGAACTGGACTCTGTGCAGTAATATCGGTGATATATATCTCTACAAATTCGTGGAGACAAACATTTTCTAAAGATGCATCTAATGAGTTTGAAAGTACTAATTCTGTTCATGTCTCACAGCCAGGTTGCTTTCCTCTTTCTTTTCTTCTTCTTCTTCTTCTTCCGTTTTTGGCGGATCGCACTTGATCTTGTGCATTATCGCCACCTACCTGTAACGTTAATCCAGGGACTCTACACCACAGCAAAGAGGAGAAGCTCGCTGTTTCATAATTCCAAGAACGCTGAGAACGGACTTGCGTACTTGTGGAGTGGAGACCGGTCTTGCCATGTGTCCTCGGAAGAACGAAGTCTGGAGACCACGAGAACATAAAATGTGTCCTTTGAAAAATGGGATGCTGCGTTCTTCCTGATGGTCACGTGACCCTTAGGTGTTTTTAATAGTACATAATTTAAACATTACATCATTCATACAACGACTTATTAATAATAACAATTGTTTTCCCCTTTTTCAATATATATACTATGCATAAAGACTTTACAAATATAAGTTGCACAATATAAATAAAAAGTGATGTCCTGATACAACATTTTGTATCCGATATCAGCACAAATCTTGAATACTCTACTTTTCTTTATTTCGTTGAGTCGTATATGAACGGCTAGATCAAACTGAGAACAAAAGTCAGCAACAGTAAGTATGGAAATAAACAACCAATTTATTAACTATTGGTTGCATAAATGTGAACCTTTCACATAAGAATATATAAAATGAATTAAAGAATAAATATTAAGACCCTGAAAGATATCTTAATTGAATAAACAAAATATATATTTTTAAAGTGCAAAATTCTAATTAAAGGTCACTTCAGTTACTTTTTACCATCAGCAAATGGTAGAGACAGCTGAGAGCAGGATCATAAGAAAAAATACTGTTAACTGACCAACTGCTAAAGGTTGAGTGTCTAAAGTTTCAATTTCACACACAGCTTCTTGATGAATTTGTGATCCAGTTTTGAGCTGAAAAATATCTTTTACACAGGGGAGCAGAAATAGAGAGTTATTGTTATATTAATAAAAATGTGCAGTATATGGTTAGTACAAACATTTACATGATGAGATCAGATATTTAATCTGTGTTTGTATCATAAGAAGATTATGGCTGTATCAATGTTCCCAAACAAAACATTATTAATTTTATAATAATATATATTGCACATATTATCTTTAACATAAATTTATTTGCAGTAGCTGGATTGAAACACCTTTTCTCCACAGCACATACAATGAGAATTTAAAGAATAATTTTATTGCAATTTATTTGCATAACATATTGCACAGATTCCACCCCACTGCCCACATGGGAAGAGTAGACAATGTAAAGACAGACAGAAGTGCAAACTCATGTGCAAAGCTGACACTGTTTATCAGAGCACTTTATCTTCTGTGCTTTTTAAAGAAGATTTAAACATGGGAATGCCTCTAATTAAATTTTACTTCTGCCAGAAAGTAATATCATTCTTTCTTTTAAACTGTAATGGCTCTCAGCAACAGAATGATTTCTTATTCTTATTTAATAGACAATTAAAACAACAAAAAGCTTTAGCATTTAACACCTTTTACATGACAGCTATAGAAAACGAAAGCAGAATCTTGGACATGATAGGCGATTTAGAAATCCTGGCTAAATGCATTTTTAAGTCTCAAATAGAGGACATGTCCAGGAAAAGAGGATGTATTGTCACCCTTAATAATGAGCTGGGTCAGTCTATTTAGTAAAAGGTTTTCTTCGCGTGTCCTCGCACTCATCTTCAAGCGACTACCAAAGTCAGATGTCCAGTGCATCTCTGAAGTCTGAAACAGCAGAACACCCAAGTCTGTGGAGTTTGTCACACACACAGAACCGGGCTGCTGAGGTAAAGTCTTATATGTGGGAAGCGCTGGTGTTGAATTGGGTATTACACTGGATGAACCACGATATGCCATGACCTAATTGTAACGTAAACGTTTTAAATGAGGTTCGCATGGTGTGCGGTTCGTCGCCATTCAGCGCGTTGCTTAGAAGCATTTACAAAACAATGTAACTTAAAGATCGCTTGACGTGAAGTAAATAAACCAGTAGAGATGTGCCGTTGTTGATCGCGTTAGCGTGTGCTACAGTCACAATAGAATACTATCTTAATACACCATAATTTAGTGTGAAGAGCATGTTACATCTTAGAGACTTTGCTACTGCTGCAAGCAGTGTTGTGATCACGTGGGCTTTGCATACTGGCTCTGGATGCTGCTGGATAGAATAGCTGTAATGGAGTTTAGAGCGAATAGGACTGCTTAAATCGGAGATTTTTAACGCAGTCCGATATAATTTTTTGGACTGATATTGGACGAATTTCCGATATCAATATCGGATCGGGACATCCCTAGTGAACATAAACAACATCTCTGAATGTAAAATGCTCAAACTTCAATGCAAAGGGAAACCTTGATTTTTACAGAGTTAGCTAAGCAAAGCCTACAATGAACGAAATTTGGGGACTACAAAAAATACTTCCGCCCCCTGTGAGATCACAAAGCTTTGTTTACTGCGCACCCACACTGCGCAGCTAAGGGCCGTGGCCAGAGGCGCTGTAACATTACAGCAGAGGGAGAAGTGCCATCCTGCTATTTCCACAGAGCTTCTCTGTTTCTGTATTTGGGCTTCCAAATGGCACGACACAAACACAGAAGTGCTTACAGTTCAATATTAATTATGTTACAGAGAACTATAAAATACATAGCAAGCATGATTTGACAAAACACAGCTTCCAGAATGTCTCTCGGTTCAGTGCTGGATTCGGCTAAAATCTCCTCACAGATGGAGCATCTACAAAGAGACGCTGTAAACTCTGAGCCAGGCCCATGCAGAGACTGTCCAAAGGGCATGTGCAGCATACATTTTTTTTGAAGAGCGGGGGTTGTAATTGTCGCGCGAGTACTGAAGAGCGGTGTTGTCGCGCACGTTCTGAACAGCGGTGTTCTCGCGCACATACTGTAAAGCGGGGTGGTGGGGGTTGGGGAGCACGTGTATGCAAGAGCGGTGTTGTCGCGTGCCTACTGAAAAGTGATAGGGGGGAGGGGGGCTTTTGATCATTTTGGAAGGGCACTTTCTATCCATTACTAAAAAGGGCATGTGCACTGCACAGGTTGAGCCCTATGTGTGCACGTGCCTGCTCTGAGCCACGACCTGTAAGTGTTTTTATTTGTTAAAATTGATCATGACATGCACAGTGTCTAGCCTTAACCGTATTTTGAAACAAAGATGTAAACAATGGGAAATAATGTTCGTCATCGCTAAAGATTTAGCTACAAATCCATATTTATCAGTCAAACTGCTGTAAACACACACACAGACACACACATATACGCACAGCACATGCGTCTCTCTGTGTGCGACGGCACTTTCTCTATCGGCAGATTTTCCATGAGTTTTATAAATTTGAAGTTGCAAAAGACATGTGAACGATTTATGTTACACACAGGCACATTCCGAATATGTGTGAAAGACGTCGTCGTGAGTTAAAAAAATACAGCAATGCTCTCCTAACTGGAGTGTAGCACCAAAAAAAAAAAAACAATCAAGGCTCACACAGGTGTCATGCCACATCTTGTGCTTTATTCTGTCAGCAGATTTACCACAGAAAATAACTTATTCAGAGCATAAGAGAAAAAGAAAAATAAACATCGGTTCCACACACATGCGCTTCTCGTGTTACAGATAGTTCACAGTATAAACACACACACACAATGGCACAGAAGCACTCTCATAAAAAGTGTGTGCTTGAACGGGCGTGACGTGGAGCCGATCCGCGAATCACAGCACATTATGACTATGACCAATCAGAGTCACTTGAGGGCGGGCCTTTCAGAGGAACTAGGAAATATATCAGTTGTTTTCATGTTAGCTGAGTAGCTGTATGTAATCAAAGTGAGATTTAGGAAAAAATAACATGATTTCCTTCAAGTGAAACATGAGCACACATTAATTTGCATCTTATTAATAGAACCAAGCCTTACAATTACTTTCTGGACCACCACTTTAAGATGTCCATGGTGATGTTTATATTCACCATCTCATTTAGGTAAACTCCTAAGACAAATAAGTTATATCTCTGAACTTTAATAATAATTTAAAATAAAATGCTGCGGTTCCCATCTCCAGTCGCAATGATTTCTGGGACTTCTAGCGCGAGTTCGGTGCTCAACTCTGCATCGGTGCAGGGGCGGAACAAGATGGCACCTCAGTAGGATGAAAATTTCAGAGCTACAAGCCAAAAAGTTATAGTTTGCAAGTCTAGTGCTTTTAACGTTACCTTTACAATAGTTTATCTAAAAGTAAGAACAGCTACGTGACACTGAGAGTGAAACATGCCAAAATCTGACAAACCCAGAAAGCAATTAGACAGCGACTTTGTCGACACTATGGTTGGTCATGACTATGCTTCTCCAGTGGGAAATGAAGTTGATCTCTGCCTGTCACATCGCCCTAAAACACAAGGGCGTGTGGGAAGCGCGTATATCGGATCTGGAAAGATATTCTCGTAGAAGGAAGTTGAGGCTATTTGGGGTACCTGAATCTTCCAAGGGAGACATCAGATCTGAGGTGAATCGAATCTGCTGCAAAACTTATCCAGATGCTAGGATGAGGTACCCTGATGTTGTCGACACTGTGCATCGCATAGGGAGGAGAGATGACAACGCAAAACCTTGCGCCATTAACATGTAATTTACCTCACGGGTAGTTTGCGATGTCTTGTGGAAAGCAGCTAAGAATTTGTGCACCCATAGGCGATCTGGTCTAAAAAGGAAGGCGTTCTGAGGCGGACCGCTGAAGCGTCGGTATTTTGAGAAACTATAATACATTTTTCATTAGACCAAAAGTAACCCGGTCTGAACTCCGGCGCAGAGTTGGGCCTCGCTTACGCACTGCTTAATACGCACAAGAGAGCAATAGGCAAATATCTTTACATATGAAAAAATTTAAATATTAAGGATATATATATATATATATATATATATATATATATATATATATATATATATATATAGGATATAACAAGAATAGATATAGGATATAAATATAAAGGATTAAAATATTACAAAACATATTA